TATCTCCACATGTGATTAGCATATCAAAGAAGTAGAACTTGCCCGTTGACAAAAGAACTAGTAGCTTTGAGGGAGACTTGATGCCACATGCATGCATAGATATGAGGGAACCAAGACACAGGAGTGTTAAAGCCAAGTTACATCTTGAGCCGACTTGTAATATTTGTCCAAACATTATGTATTTCCCTGCCTGCAAATAAGGTATCCATTATGAGCTTGATTCAGTGATGGACCATTGATTGCTAGATACCACAAATATTCCCAGCCGATCCCGGGAATAACACAGGAGCAAAAACATTGGGTACCACGGTCACTCACATCACCACATCCCAGTGGCCTCAACTCCTCATCCAGCATTCTGCATAGGTCTGTAATCACTTCTGTTTTTAAGTGTAGTCTTCAAAGACACTGGTACTGCAATAGGCCTAGGAAGCTGAGCTGCTGTCTGTAAATACTGTGGACTCATTTGTGTCCTTTATGTGCATCAACCAAGCATTATGACAGGGCTCTTCTAACCACTGCTGTCTTTCCACATGTGGCTGTTGAAGTCTGGGGAGAAACATTTCCAGTTATCAGTTTCTGTAGGAATCCTTCAAAACTGCAATTCTTTTGAAGACCACCTCCTTTGAGTGGCAGTCCTGAGTTTTTTCTGTTTGGAAACTCTGCACAACTGAAGGCACACCAGTTTCAGGCAACGATTTCCTCCCTCTGTGCTCCATTTTGCTGGAGTGTTGAGCAAATTAAACTTTGTGAAATCAGTGTGCTTTTTGTAAAATTCAAATTGCTGTATAAACCGAGCTTGAATACATCCATCGAATGCTAGCCAGCAGACTACGGCTCATGGTTCATTGTTCTCCCGGACAAATTAGCCCAAAGGAAGGAAACATCAGGGAGGCATCCCTCTGGGATCAATGCTGGGATCTCTGCTGTTCATGATCTACATAAATGACTTGGAGGAAAACTTAGCTGATCTAATTAGTAAGTTTGCAGATGATACAAAGATTGGTGGAATTGCAGATACAGAGGAGGTTTGTAAGAGGGTACAGCAGGATATAGATCAGTTGGTGGCATGGACAGGAAAATGGCAGATGGAATTTATTCTGGACAAATGTGAGGTGTTGCGTTTTGGAAAGTCAAGTACAGATGCAAATTATACAGTGAATCGCAGAACCCCTAGAAATATTGATATGCAGAGAGATCTGGGTGTGCAGGTCCACAGATCACTGAAGGAGGCAGCGCAGGTAGATAAGGTAATAAAAAAGGCCTATGGCATGCTTGCCTTCATTGGAAGGGGCATTGAGTATAAAGATAGACAAGTTTTGCTGTAGTAAGTTTAGCAGCTCTCTGACACCTCCTCCTACCGCCCCCTTGATCATGACCCCACCCCCGACCACCAAAACATCATCTCCCAAACCATCCATAACCTCATCACTTCAGGTGACCTCCCACTCCAACCTCATCGTTCCCCAACCCCGCACCGCCCGTTTCTATCTCCTTCCCAAAATCCACAAACCTGACTGCCCTGGTAGACCCATTGTCTCCGCCTGCTCCTGCCCCACCGAACTTATCTCTACCTATCTCACTCCATTTTCTCCCCCTTGGTCCAGGAACTCCCCATCTACGTCCGTGACACCATCCACGCCCTCCACCTCCTCCAAAACTTCCGATTCCCTGGTCCCCAACACCTCATCTTTACCATGGACATCCAGTCCCTATACACATGCATTCCCCATGCAAATGGCCTAAAGGCCCTCCACTTCTTCCTGTCCCGCAGGCCCGACCAGTCCCCCTCCACTGACTCCCTCATCTGCTTAGCTGAACTCGTCCTCACCCTTAACAACTTCTCCTTCAATTCCTCCCACTTCCTACAGACAAAGAGGGTGGCCATGGGTACCCGCATGGGCCCAAGCTATGCCTGCCTCTTTGTAGGATACATGGAACAATCCCTCTTCCGAAGCTACACTGGCCATATCCCCCACCTCTTCCTCCGTTACATCGATGACTGTATCGGCACCGCCTCGTGCTCCCACGAGGATCTCGAATGGTTCATCCACTTCACCAACACCCCAACCTTAAGTTCACCTGGACCATCTCTGATACCTCTCTCTCCTTCCTGGACCTCTCTGTTTCCATCTCTGACAACCACCTGGAAACCGATATCCATTTCAAGCCCACCGACTCCCACAGCTACGTAGAATACACTTCCTCCCACCTACCTTCCTGCAAAAATGCCATCCCCTATTCCCAATTCCTTCACCTCCGCCGCATCTGTTCCCAATATGAGGCATTCCACTCCCAGACATCCCAGATGTCCTCGTTTTTCAAGGACCGCAACATCCTCCCCAACAGTGGTCGAAAACGCCCTCTACCGCGTCTCCCGCATTTCCCACAACTCACACCCCCTCCCCGCAATAACAACCAAAACAGGATCCCCCTCGTCCTCACATACCACCCCACCAACCTCCGAATCCAACGCATCATCCTCTGGCACTTCTGCCATCTGCAATCTGACCCCATTACCAAAGACATTTTTCCCTCCCCACCATTATCTGCTTTCCAGAGGGACCACTCTCTCCATGATTCCCTCGTCCATTCCACACTCCCCACCAGCCCCACCACCCCCTGCATTTTTCCCTGCAACCGCAGGAAGTGCTACACCTGCCCCTACACCTCCCCCCTCACCCCCATCCCAGGCCCCAAGAAGACCTTCCACATTAAACAGATGTTCACCTGCACATCTGCTAATGTGGTATACTGTATCCGCTGTTCCCAATGAGGCCTCCTCTACATCGAGGAAACCAAGTGGAGGCTTGGGGACTGCTTTGTGGAACACCTACGCTCAGTTCACAACAAACAGCTGCACCTCCCAGTTGCGAACCATTTCAACTCCCCCCACCAACTCCTCAGACGACATGTCCATCCTGGGCCTCCTGCAGTGCCATAACGATGCCACCCGAAGGTTGCAGGAACAGCAACTCATATTCCGCTTGGGAACCCTGCAGCCCAATGGTATCAATGTGGACTTCACAAGCTTCAAAATCTCCCCTCCCCCGACCACATCCCAAACCAGCCCAGCTTGTCCCTGCCTCCCTAACCTGTCCTTCCTGCCAACTATCCCCTCCTCCCACCTCAAGCCCCACCCTCACCTCCTACCCACTAACCTCATCCCGCACCCTCGACCTGTCCGTCCTCCCTGGACTGACCTATCCCCCCCTAATTCCACACCTACACTCACCTTTACTGGCACCACCCCCGCATCTTTGACCTGTCTGTCTCCTCTCCACCTATCTTCTCCTTTATCCATCTTCTATCCACCTCCCCCTCGCTCCCTATTTATCTCAGAATCCCCTTCCCCTTCCCCATTTCTGAAGAAGGGTCTAGACCCGAAACGTCAGCTTTCCTGCTCCTCTGATGCTGCTTGGCCTGCTGTGTTCATCTAGCTCTACACCTTGTTATCTCAGATTCTCCAGCATCTGCAGTTCCTACTATCTCTGAAACAAGTTTTGCTGTAGTTTTATAGAATTTTATTTAAGTTACACTTGGAATATTGCATACAGTTGTGGTCACCACACTGCCAGAAGCATGTGGACGCCTTGGAGAAGGTACAGAAAAGGTTTACCAGGATGTTGCCTGGTATGAGGGATTTTAGCAATGAAGAAAGGTTGGATAAACTGGGCTTGTTTTCACTGAAATGCAGGAGGTTGAGTGGTGACCTGAAAGAAGTTTATAAGATTGTGAATGGCATGGAGAGAGTGGAAAGTATGAGGCTTTTTTCCCAGGGTGGATGGGTCAATTACTAGGGGACACATTTTCAAGGTGCAAGGGGGGGAAGTTTAAAATAGATGTGCAAGGCACGTTTTTCACACAAAGTGTGGTGAGTGCCTGGAATGTGCTGCCAGAGGAGGTGGTGGAAGCAGACACATTAGCAGCATTCTAGAAACACCTGGACGAATATATGAATAGGAAGGGAATAGAAGGATACGGATCCTGTAAGTGAAGACAGTTTTAATATGGAAGGACAAAATATGGCAGTGCAGGCTTGGAGGGCTGAAGGGTTTTTCCTGTGCTGTATTGTTCTTTGTTCTAAGCTCCTCCACCTCCGATCATATGCCCATAGGCCCAGGACAGTTCAGTCCATATTATTAGCCCTGATTAGAAGACCTATTTGACAGACATAGTAGGAACTCCAGATGCTGGAGAATCTGAGATAACAAGGTGTAGAGCTGGATGAACACAGCAGGCCAAGCAGCATCAGAGGAGCAGGAAAGCTGACGTTTCGGGTCACGACCCTTCTTCAGAAAAAAATTTTGACCTATTTGACATTTCTATTTGCTTCCAGCAGAGGGCTCACTGCAGACAAGAGCTCATAATCCATCACAAGTCCCGAAATTCCATGTTGCAATGAATGCCTATACAGGACACTTAGCAACAGCAAATAAATTGTAACAGGGCAAATCCGTGCTTGGAGTTCTAAAGCACTGGCAATTAAAAGTGCATGAAAGTGCTTTTATCATTCATGGGATGATTAAAGGTTTGGCCAGCAGTTATTACCTGCCCCTAAATGCACTGGAGTAGGTGGTGGTGTGCAGCCATCTCCAACTGCTTCAGTACTTGGAGTGTAGGGACACCCCTACCTGCTGTAAAGAAGAGTTCTAGGATTTTGACTGAGCAACTGAGAAGGAATAGCAATATAGTTCCAATTCAGGATAGTATATGGCATAGAAAAAAATGCAGGTGACAGCGTTCATACATGTATCTGCTGCTCGTCAGTCTAGGTAGAAAAGGTTCTGGGTCTGGAAGGTGTTGTCAGAAATGTCTTAGTTAATTGCTGAAGTGCATCTTGTAGATGATACAAACTGCTGCCACTGTGCATTGGTGTTGGAGGGAGTTCATGGTGATGGATAGAGTGTCAATCAAACAGGCTGCGTGGTCCTAAATGCTGGTCCAGCTTCTTGAGTGTTGTTGGAGCTATCACACTCTTAATTTGTGCCTCATAGATAATGGACAGGTATTGTCACAAAGTGAGTTACTCTCTGCAGAATTCCTAGTTTTATTTTAATTCACTCATAAGATTTGAACATTGCTGTCTGGGATAGCATTTATTCCCCATTCCTGGTTGTCCTTGAAGTGGTGATGGTGGTGGTGATGGTGGGTTGTCTTCTTGAATCACTGTAGTTCATGTGCAGTATGTAGACCCACAATGCAGGCAATTAAGGCAGGAAGCCCAGGATTACCCAATCACACTAGTTAATTGAATATTTCTTGTTTGTGATTGTACAAATTTTGTCTCTATCCAATTGCTTAGGGGCCTTCCATGACCAGTTGGATGCACAATAACTTCAAACTTTCACATGCACTTTGGTGACCAAATTCTATTACTATTTCTTTCCAAGCTACAACCCATATCATAATCAATTAAATGATGAAATTTTGATTGGCTGAGGCTGAGCAATGCTTATTGCCAGTTGGTTTAAATGACACGGTTCATCTATAATTGGTTTTTAACAGGGTCAAAAGTCACACAACACCAGGTTATAGTCCAATGGGTTTATTTGAAGTCACAAGTTTTTGGAATGCAGCCCCTTCATCAGGTGAAGTTTTAGCTCTTTGTTAATGAAAGAAGGAGGCATTTGCAATCAGGATCCAAAGATAGATATCCTTGAGCTCATGTTTCAATTCTCATTTAAATTAGTGATGAAGGGATAGCGCTCTGAAAGCTTGTGATTTCAAATAATTTGTTGGACTTTAACCTGGTGTCATGTGACTTTTGACCTTGTCCACCCCAGTCCAACACCAGCACCTCCACATCATTGGTTCTTAATAAGCATTGGATGATGTCAGCTTCCATTATCTCCTGACTGGTTCCTTAACTTGTCAACTTGTCAATTATCTATGAGTCCATCATCTTTACTAAATTTGTTATTGTCACTTTACTAAGTTAAGAGGATGGTTTGACATTATTTTTTGCTCTTCGTTAATGAAAGATGGAGGCATTTGCAGTCAGGACCCAAAGGTAGATATCCTTGAGCTCATGTTTCAATCCTCATTTAAATTGGTGAACGTCCCATTAATCAGACACTGACTTATCACTGATGATTTGCTTTTATTTTTTAGAGTCATTTTGTGCAAGTTTGGGGTTTGTCCTCTCCATCCAGCATCAGGCTGTGAGAATATGTCTGGAAATGCATGCAGAATTTTAGAAGAAGTGCCCAAGCAAGTGCATTTAAAGACCCAAAGCAATATTTTGAAGTGTCTGCATCAGTGATTTACGATTTCAGACTGATTGCAGAGATTTAAACAACTGTACATTTCAGTTCATTCCAACAAAGATATGAATTTGAGTAGTTTGTTTCAGATCTTTTAATATGTGGTGCAAGAGGAGCTTGGAAAATCACATTTGCAAGTGTTGATTTAGAAGGTCAGTTTAAAAATGTGCAAAGTTACTTAAATGGTAGAAAGTGCTTCAAAAATGAAAATGTCAGGGATTTTTTAAACTTTTAAGAAAATAAATTTATTTTTGGCCTTAAAAGACCTTCAGTTCTTATAGAGATTTTGAGCAATCTGTATGGAAGCAAATTGATATGAATTTGTAATGCATTACTTTTAATAGGCTGTTCCAAATACATGTTGTCAAAAAAGTTTGAAGTGAAAGTTTCAGAGAAGTTAAAAAAGGTTTGATGTCTGCAGTAAAAGTTCCAGTGAATTACTGAGATTGACCTTGAATGTAACGTTACATCTCACTTTGAACAAGTTATTATTGAGTTCTCTTATTCATGGCGATTGGACAAACTTGGACATTTTGCAAGGGTGTCAGAGGCTGAAAAGCAACCTGATAGAAGTGACCTGATAGTCAGTCTTTTTCCAAGGATGTAATTATCACATACTAGGAGACATACGTTGAATGTGAGAGGAGGTAAGTTTAAAAGAGATGTGCATGACAAGTTTTTTACACAGAAGGTGATAGGCACCTGATACACACTGCCAGGGAAGGTGGTGGAAGCAGATATGATATCAACATGAACAAGTGCGGAATAGAGGGATTTGGACTATGTGCGGCAGATGGGATTAGTTTAGAATGATATAATGGTCATGGAGACATGGTGGGCCGTAGGGCCTGTTTCTGTGCCATACCGTTCTATGTTCTATGGATTCTGTCATCTCTAGGCATGGGTGATGTCTTCCACACCATTGAAGCTCCAATGATCATCATGATGTTGCTTTTCTTCAGAACACAATGCAGCCACAGAGATCATCAAAGGAAGGTCTAACATGCCATGATTCTACACAGAGAATCACAGGGTGACTTCTGGATGATAAGGCATACCCACTGAAAATATGGCTTATGGCACTATTTCAGAGGACCTCCACTGAGGTGCAGGAACTCTACAATATCACTCATACAGCAATGAACCAAGTGGTACAGATGGCAATTGGAGTACTTCAATTCAAGATTATTTAGAGGCATCAATTATCAAAGCACTGGCACATGGTCAACAACGTTCACTCCCGAGACCAAAAAGATGTCCTCATTATCAAAGCGATGACCAGTGCGGATGACTGTTGAACAGGTGACTCGCTCATCCCCCTCCTTGATGTCCGTTAAACGCCATTCCTGACCTTTTCTTTGTAAATAATGGTCAGGATTTGGGAACAAGAGTGTGTTATATAAGGTAATGGTTCTGAAAGTGTTAATGTTAGAAACTGCATTAAGCTCTACACAAGTTGCTGATATCATACATTGTGTGTGGGGAAAATAGGAGAACAGTTCTAGAACTTGAAGGGACAGAAGTGTCATTCTCTGTCTCCCAAAAGTCTTACTAAGAATGTCCAACTAGTTAATCTAACTTGCATCCAATGGCAATCAAGCAATAAAATGCATTTTAAAGAGTTAAAAATATATTTTTAAGTTAAAGAAATAGAGTTTTGAAATAGCATGATATGGCTGATGTTATATTTTATTTCAAAATCTAAGAAATCAAAATTCTGTAATCCCAAGGATACATAAATAATAGTTAAGATAAAACTTAGAGAAGTAAACATAATGCTTTTTAATTCTTTTGCTGTTACCTTTTCTTGTTAAAACTGACCAACGGTTGTTCCTACCATTTTAAACCAAATAGGTCCTTGCACCCAGTCAAGGAAAGTGGAAAGGTGGCAGCATCTTTCTACCCACAAATACCACTGTGAGTTACTGTAGATATTAAACTAAAATTTCTGAATCTCTGAAGAAGGGTCACTGGACCCGAAACGTTGATTCTGCTTTCTCTCCTCTGATGCTGCCAGACCTGCTGAGCTTTTCCAGAAATTTCTGTTTCTATTCACCGTAAATTTGTTGAGTTAGTTAAAATGAAATTAAATGAATGAAATAAGAAAAAGAAAACATATGAAACTTGGTGATGACCTAAGGTTTAGAAAGGTCATTGATTTTTAAAGTTTTCATGTTGGCTGTATTTATTTACATCGTCTTATAACTTAACAGTAATGGACTGAACTGCCCAGTAACTATGGAAAAGCTGAAGTTTAAATTAAAGCAAACACAGTGAATCAGATGTGATAATGTGGACTATATTTTAGCCGAATTAATGATTTTCATGGAATTGTGCTGTGTAAATATCATACAGTTCATTGGATGACATATAAGTGGTAAACAGTGAAGACAAGGTAAAGTTTTATATGATTGTTCATTAAAACCAAGAGATAAGCATTTTTGCAAGGAGACACAATCAAGTCTTGATGTGTTAATTGATGGAACTGACTTAGAAAACATGACAGTCATAGAGTTATTCAGCACGGAAACAGACTCTTCCGTCTACCTGACCAAAACCAATCAAATATTCTGAACTGACCTAGTTCCATTTGCCAGCATTTGGGCTATGTCGCTCTAAAGCCTTCCTTTTCATAGACCCATCCAGTTGCCTTTTAAATGTTGTAATCGTACACACTTCCACCACTTCCTCTGGCAGCTCGTTCCATGTATGCATCACTTTGTGCATGAAAAAGTTGTCCTTTAGGTCCCTTATAAATCTTTCCCCTCTCATCTTAAACCTATGCTCTCTCGTTTTGGGCTCGCCTACCCTGGGAAAAAGACCTTGAATATTCACCCTATCCATGCCCCTTACAATTTTATAAACCTCTATAAGGTCACCCTTTGCATCTGACGCTCCAGGGGAAAACAGCCCCAGCCTATCCAGCCTCTCCCTATAGCTCAAAACTTCTGACCGTGGCAACATCCTTGTAAATCTTTTCTGAACCCTTTCAAGTTTCACAACATATTTCCTATAGCAGGAAGGCCAGAATTGCACACAATATTCTAAAAGTGGCCTCACCAACGTCCATGTTTGTAATATTTGCCAGTTGTCAAATGGACTATTTTCGAGAGACCGGATAATATCGAGAGTGTAAAAGCATTGCTTCTTTGGATGGAAAGCATATAATGCAACTTGCTTCACAGGAGCAATTTAGCTAGCTAGGGGGGTCAATTAATTAATGAGGAGGTCAATTAATTAATGAGAAGTTCATACTGAATGGGCTGATCTACGGCCAAGTCCACTTGCGATTGTAAGATTTTGCAGCATTTTGATAGCGTATTTTGCTTTAATAAAGAGAATTGGGTATGTTGTTAAAACTGTTTTGGTTTTTTGATATCCAGAGTAACCACGAAGAACCAAGGAAAATGTGAATAAAAGTCTACAGTTACTCGCTGTAGAATTCCCAGCTCTTGTAGTCTTAATAAAAACAGAAGTTGCTGGGAAAGCTCAGCAGGTCTGGCAGCATCTGTAAAGAAAATAATCGGAGTTAACGTTTCAGGTCTGGTGACCCTTACTCAGAAGTGTAGTCTTAATATTTATAAGGCTGGTCAAGTAAGTTTCTCATCAATCGTAAACCCTAGGAGGCAGATAATGTAGGAATTAAGCGATGGCAATGCCATTGAATGCTTTTTCCGCAAAACTATCCCTATATCCCAATTGGCATTCAGAAATCTGTTAATCTCTAAATATACTCGAAGGCTGAGCTTCCTTTGGGGTAAAGAATTGGGATTTTGAATTGCGACCATCACCTTATGAGTCTGGTGACAAACAGCCAGCCTGCGCGTTGAATCTTTCAAATGTAAAACCTCATGTGACTCAGGTTTACGTTAAATGTAACGCTTTGTACACACCCAGACAGTAAAATCAATGCAAACCGTTCCCCAGGACAAGGCCCGCTGCTCAGCCACTCACTCACTCCCACGTCGGGCTGCGCTCCGCTCACCCCGCCTCTCCGACCCTCCGAGTGGCACCATCCCATTGGGCCGCGTGACCAACCAATAGGAAACGGGCAGCTCAGGGAAGGCTGTCGAATGGGAAGAGAGACGTGTCTCAGTCCGACTCGCGCAGGCGCGGCGGCCCGAGGATATACCCGTTGAGAGCGCGAGGAAAGCGTTTTCCAGGTGGAGGGCGGTTAGAGAGCGCGAGGTAGAGTCTCCGACGTGGGGGAGGAGGGGTAAGAAACCGCTCGAGCTCCTCTGGGATTAGAACCGCACTGAGCTCGAATGGAGCTGAAGAAAGCGTCGTTGCT